GGGCTCTGGTTAAACATGTTTTAGACAGAAGTGGCTACGCGCCAAGAGCCTGTCGTGACTTGATTGACCAACCGTACCCTCTGGGAGAATAGCCAGTTCTTCCCCAAGGGAATGATCAGTGTTTACAGGTACTGAGTTAAAAATTAATGGTGCTTAGTCTTCTGTGGAGAAGGGCTAGTTCTCCCCGGGAGACAGCACACCTATATTTAATTCTTACAATAAAAGGTCATGGCTTGGGCATAATTCTTAACATTTCTTTAACCCGTCACCAGTCCAGCATCCATCCCAGTTTTTGTGATTACCTGAGTTCCCTCTGAGGAACCAGCATTTTTCTACTCATCTGTCTCCAGGACTGCCTGGGACTTGCACCTGCCAATCGTAGCATACAGTCCTATGTACATCGTGATGTATTTAGGGGTGGGCGTTCGACTCAAGCCAAGTCAGTCAGGCCCAGTCAAAATCAGTCCTGGGACTTTTTGTTTTTCTTTTTTGTTTTACATTTTTTCATTTTCTTTTTTTTCCATTTTCAGTTCTGGGACTTTTGTGGGAGTGACTGGAAAAGAGGCACACAAGTGCCTTTGAACTTGAAGTTGTGAAGGGACATACTTACATGAGGAGAGAGCCTAATTGATAAAGCAGAGCGGAGAGATCAGATTCTGACATTTGAACCCCTGGATCCAGCTGTACCTGAAACCATATACAGTGTACTACATGTGGTTTGCTGAAACTGATTCTGAAATATTACTGACACTGTCTCATAGTAGCAAAACACATAGGGAATGAAGATTCTATTTTTAGCCTAGTGTTGCTTGCTGAGTGGAAAAGAAGAGCTATTAATTTTTATACTCCTGAATTTGATTAGAAACTATTATAGATGTAGACACAGAGTAGAAAATTATGTCAGTGTAGTGGTTGGGTAAAGTATTAACAGATTAGGATCAATCTTTTTTATTATTCCATGCATTCTTCCTGAGAGCTGAGAGAAGCCAGGTGACTAGATGAACCCCTGTGCAGGTGAAACCCATGGATGCTTGACCGTCTTGCGTATGTATGTGGTAAGATGACTTCACCCTAGTGCTCAGATGCCCTCTGTATGCTTGGCGGTAGCATCAGACAGATCCAGATTGTGGTAATGAGTAACTGTGGGCTGTCCTAGATTCAGACGCAGCATGAGTTCAGATTTTATCCATAGACCTGTAACTGCCCCAGCTGGAGCTTCTGAATGAGTGATTGAAGCCTAGCCTTCAGCTACTGTGAATGTGCAGCAGCAGTTCAACATTTAGTGAATCGAAACCTCTGGGTCTGGCATGGTAGGTCAGGGTTGACCTTGCATGTCTCCTTGCATGAGGATGAGAATACTGATCATTATACTTTGGGCAAGTTCCCTAACATTTCTGTTTAATTTCCTCATCTGCAAAATGAGGATAATAATAGTTCCTAGCTCATAGGATTATTGTGAGTGAAATGAGTTGATAACATTTAAGCACTTGGAATAGAAATTGGCACCCTGTAAATGTTAGTTATCATTATTACTGAAAATCAATAATTTTCTCCTCAGACAAACATTTTCTCTAGAACCTGGGCATCTGAAATAAAGCAAAGAAAAGGCAGAAATATGAGGATTTATGAAATTGTGAAAAGCTCTATGAGAGTGTGCCATGCTTGTCAGATATCAGCACTTTGAAGTGATGTTTTTTAGTTTTTTGAGGTACTGAGTCAGTTGGAAAGCTGTATTGAAAGTTCTCAGCAGGGAATGAGGGCAGGTATTTCTTTTTTAGGGATCTTGGTAGGTGTGGTTCTGGGAAGGACAACTAAAATCTGTAACCACACCTACCCAGACAGTGGTTTCTGTAAATCTCAATAGTTAAGCTGGCAGGGGTTTGAGAGCATTCTTTGAAATACCCAATTTTCACAGGAAATGGTAGCAATTCAAGACCTGGATCCAGCTTTAGCCAATATATCAAGATGGTGAGGATAATGATAACAAGGAACCATTAGTTTTTCAGGGGTGAAGTGGTTTTTGTTCAAATATGTAGATTGCCGTTGTTATAATTTTCTTTATTTTCTTTCCCTCCCTCCCTGTTGGCCTTTTTTCCTTCCTTTCTCATCTCTCTCTGATTTTGTCACAAGAACTATTTGCTCCCCTCCCCAGAATTAAGCACTTTTAACAATTTGGCAGATATCCTTTAATTCCTTTTTCTATATATTTATACACATACACAATTAGAAATTGTTTTGTAGGTGGATTAAAACTTTCTTAATGTAAACAGGATATTCTGAGTTAATATCTAAATTATTTCTTCTCTCTTAAAATGTCTTTTCTCTTCATACCAGTACACACAGATCGATCTCTTTCTTTTGAATTGTTGACTACAGCCTTATATGGGTGCACCATAGTTTTATTTATTTATTCACCATTTGATGGAATTGGGTTGCTTTCCATTTTCTGCTCTTATGAAAAATCCTCCCATAGCCCTCTTTGGGCACATGCCCAGTTCCTGTGCCATAACGTATATTGAAAAACAACTTGCCAAAATTTAAATTATATAGTTTCATTTTACTCTAAAATTTTCCAGTGCCACCCTAGCTGGGTGGCTCAGTTGGTTGGAACATTCATCTCATATACCAAAAATGCTGCAGGTTTGATTCCCGGTCAGGGCATGTACAAGGGGCAACTGATTAGTGTTTGTCTCTCACATCGATGTCTCTCTGTCTCTCCATCCTCCTCTCTCTTTAAAAAATCAATAAACATATCCTTGGGTGAGGATTAACGTTTTAAAAAAAATTCCAGTCCCTATGGGAATTTATTTGATTTTTTGGATAGCCACAACTTAATGCTGGTTAAAATCATTCCCTATCTTCTCAACAAAATGTGGCCAGATAATGGTGATGGCCACAAAAAGGTGAAATGTACACCCCAAACATTCCCTATTCTTAACACTCATCATCTGCAAGTGTCATAGTGAGAGTGGTAACAAAAATATTTTTTGAAATGTTCAGGATCTCAGAAGTAATTTCCTGAACATTTGTTGCATAGCCTGGCAACATTTTGTGCCATTACACAATCTCTCTCTTCCATAAATACCAGGACCCTTCATTTTTAGCTAAATTGTATGCTGAGTAGTTTGCTGGCAAGTCTGCAGAGGAATGCCCGTCTCCACAAGGTGCTCATCACCAGTATTTGTGGTTAGCATTCTGAGCAGCCTGCACACTTCACTATCTCTGTTGAATAAAACACTTGTGTTTTCAAAAGCAAGAGGCCCAGATCTGCTGAGTCAGATGTGATGTTATCTTTCAACGACCCAAGTTCTATCACAAAGGTTTGGGAAGTTTGTTATCTGACACCAATCTGTTGGGGACTCTTCTGCTGTCAACTGTGCACAAATCAATGAGCTAAGATTAATTCAAAGAGACATAATTAGTGCCTAGATACTCTGAGACAGTGCTATGCAAAATTGCTGCCCTGTGAACTCTTTTTTACTGGTCCAGAATGGAATAAGGTGTTTGTTCCAGAATGTAAATCAACACTGTTTTATTCACTGAGAAAGTCTTGCTGTGAAAAAAACGTTGACTGAACTAAACAGTGTGTGTGCTTCCAGATGTAGCTGATTTACATTCTGGTGCAAGCTCCTCAACCTGTATACTTGTCTGTGAACCATACTTTGAGTAGCACCATCTAACGTGCTTCATGAAGTTGAATGAATGAGTGAATGAATGAATGAATGAAAGCTATATCTATGATGGATTAAATGGCTTTTTAGGATGGAGATTGGGAGAATGGAGAGGACGGTGATTAAATAAAGTTTTCTTTTTCAGTTGGAGAGTGTTCCTTCCCTGCTCTTGAGCTGCCACAGGAGGAGACAGTCAAGACACAAACAGCCTCCCTGGCTACTCCTTGCTGCCTGTACCACTGTCGTTCCCTGTCAAATGAATTTCCCCTTCTTACTTTTGCCCATCTTCCTGTTATGTCTGGCATGGGATTTGAAGGAAGAAAAACGATATACAGAGGGCTCATTGTATGGCCTTATGTTTTACAGAGAATACAATTCACAGAATTCTCATAGGAGTGTGTGAGCAAAGTATTATTGTCTACTTTGTAAATGCTCAGAGAGGTTCAATTAACTTAGTCTGGGTTCCATATGTAATAAAAGGGCAGGTTTGGGACTGGAACTTAGGTCTGTTTGGTTCTCTCCTGGGTGGTTTGGTGTCTTATTGTCACATCCAAGGAGGGTGCTAACAGAATTCAGGTCCTAGGACAGAACTTTAAAAGGAACGTTGAGGCTCTGGTAGTTTCATAATCTCAGTGCCCTCCGTAATGGCCACAGTCCTGCCAGTTCCCCACGTCTCTGTACTTATGTTATATACTTGTGTGTCCCTGTAGGTGTGAATGCCTCATCTTTGCATTCCTCATAGTAGTGTATGAAGCTTTGAAAATACTACTCGATGGGTTAGCACATTAATTATATTAGTCTATAAACTTCTTTATGTGCCTCAGGTAAATTAATGAGACTGAATGAGGCTCAGACACTTACATTTTAAGATGCTGTGGTATGAAATCTATTGAGCATGTATGTCACCCAATACAATAGTGTGCACTGAGGAGAAAGGCATCAGGGGCCATGTCAGGAAAATTTGGGGGCAGTGTCCAGCGATCAGGGCATGCTACCACATCCCCACTGAAGCACAAGACACATTAGTACAACTGGCATCTCACTATGAAGGTGAAAGCACAATGCGTAACAGGCCTTGTTGGGTTTTGAAGGCAGCATATTTCATACTGAAGAGTACCACTCTCTATACTGGGTGACATGAAAGGCTGTCGGTTCTGGGTGGGGCCCAGAGCAGAAATGGGCTCTCTGGTTGGTCCACATGGTGGGGGAAGCAGCCTGCCACTTGGGACATTGAACCTAGCAGACTCTGTGATATTAGAGATCTTGGTGGAGGGAAAAATGTGGAAAAAATTAAAGCAAAACCGTTGTATATAAACTCCTTTTTCTGTTTATTTTACTGAATAACTAAATGTATAAAAACCACACAGCACATTACTAAAGAAAATATTTTATTTTTAAACGTGTAATGGATTCTTCACCCCCAATTATTTCTGTAATAATTTTATCTTTTTTAAATGTTTATTGATTTTATTTTTATTTTTTGCTTTTTAATATATTTTTTAATTTTTAAAAATAATTTTTGTTATTCTATGACAATTGTCCCAAAATTTTATCTTTTTATTAAAACTATATATTTTAATACATCTTTCCTCAAATTAAAGAGTATGATATAATTGTGACTGTCTTTAGCAACCAAAATCTAAAGACCTAAACTTGACATGGAGAAAAATGTCGTGTCAGGTCCTTTGTACCTGATTTGGTGCTGAGGCTGAACTGGTGTATCGGTTTGTTCCAGAATCCAGAGGCCACTCCAAGCTTTAAAACAAAGCAAAACCCTTAGGTTGGCCTTGGTTGCTTGAGGAACCTCTGGTTGGGGGATGACTGCTTTTGCTCTGCACAGGACAGTGCCGCCCCAGGCTAAGAAGTGTTCTCTGGGAACAGTGGACTGAGGTACCTATGGTGTTCAAGTTTGCCTGGGGCGGCAGGTGGGGAGGACCTTGTTTGTTGTGTCATGTCTCTAATGCTAATCATTTCTCCACAAAAATAAAGAGCAACTGGGTAGCTCCAGGTCACTGATGACACCAATACTTTCCTCACAGTTCTCTCTCTCTCTCAGTGATACTAAGACCAGTGAAAAGGAACACAAGAGCTGCAATCACTGTGAACACAGGCAGTAAAAGTGACTGGCAACTGTGAGAGTGGCCGAAGCTGGGGCTTGACTTTTGCAAAGGTCTCCCAGGCTTGATTTATTCTAAGCAACCTGTAGAGAGCTAGAATTTGGACACACTGTTTTAGATCTATCCTTTTACTTTTCTCCATTGTCCTTTGACTTTAATTTTTATACCCAAAAATAGAGCGAGGGAAACATTTTCCATCTCTATCACAGAATATCCATAAAACCTAAGGTCATACCCAAATTTCCTATTTAGAGTGTCCATTATGAATTCAAAATTAAATAACTAAAATAAATAATGGGTAGCTAATAAATTTTTTTTAAGATAGTAAAAATATATGACCTTAGTGATTTGTTAGTATAATTCTGATCTCTTAAATGTGGGTAAAACCCTATTCAAAAGGAAGGTTTGGAATCCTACACAAAAACATAACATGCATTAAAACAAAAAATTCTTAAATATAAAAAATTCAAGTGACCATGTATCCTTACTGATATTAATATAACACAAATAAAATAATGAACATTTTAGCACAAAATGCACTTCATTTCTAGTTAAAACACTGAAACAATTGATACTCAAATTTGACTCAAGAATAGTCAAATTCTAATTACTATAGCATAGATGTCTGAATGAGACTCATATATGTACATATGCTTCAAAGCAGAATTTGACTTTGGGCTAGTAAATTTTATTCTAATCCACAATATTTATGACTCTTAATTTCAGTTGCCTTTTCTAAGAAATTGGGGGAAAAAAAACAAGATTTCTGACATTTGGCTCAATCAGAAAATAGCTAAGAGTTATTATCTGTATATACAGTAAGAAACTATTCTAAAGCTGCTGTTTTTCTTACCTATTTTGCTAAATAAAAGCTCTTGAATGGTAATCTACTCTCCTAGTTAAAGAAAAACAGTGTAACCCTTTCTATAATTCCTATTTCAACCGGAAGAGCCATGTCATTATTTTTAATGGTTTCTTCTGTATTTTGTATTTTTTAAAATGTCGGCAATATTACAATACTTTCTGTAAAATACAAAGCAGCATTAAAAGTTCATCTAGTACTGGCATTCAGATTTTGAAGATGTATCTCTATGATGAAATAAGTCATAAAGCCAAATGTTCAGAAGAAGTGTCTGAATAACTAGCTATTTAAAAAATCAGACTTATCACCCTTTCTAAAAAATTTTAAAGCTATGCAGGTTAACATCAAAGTGCTCCTAGTGAGGAGGAATAGTGTACTATACTGGAAATAGCTTGTCTCTGGACAACTTTGAAAGTCAAAAGATCTGTACCATACGCTGTTCTCAGGGTCAGTACCATAGGGTGTCTTGTATTTTTTTGGTATTACTGATAACAAAAGCACCTTGGATTAGATTCAAGATTGACATTGTTATAAATGAAGTAAGATGCATTTAAAGTACAATTCAAAAAAAGTATAATTCAACATATTTACCATAAAGAGTACCTAAGCAATAATGAAAAAATTCATTATTTTTCAATAATGAAAAAATAATAACAAAAGTATTCCTCTGAAGTCAAAAATCTGATGCTGCTGAAGAAGTGCCCAGTTCCTTCCCAATATAGCTTACTATGGCTGATTTGATATGACTTCCTTAGTCCTGAGAACTTTTCTTGATTTTTTAACACCTTACAATAGTGACCTGGCACTAATTTAGATCTATAAAAACATAATTGTCACACGTCACACAAAAACATGATAACTAGCACATATTTCTGCATGTCTTCAAAAAAAAGTCTTTGGATACCAACTATGATGCATAATGCTGCAGAGGAGGATCCAAAGAAGCACTCTAAATGATGGATATTGTTTAATGATGATAAATAAGAATTACTTTCTAAAAAGCTGTACCAATGTCAACTTTAGGCAGAACATAACACAAGATTATTTCATGAAATATAGTCTCGTTCTATGCTTTCCTGACAATGCTCCCAACAGAAAGCTTCCAGTCTATTTGCTGTGTCTTGGCTGATGAGACAGTCATCCTTTAATTCCCTGATTGTCTTCCTCAACGATTTTTGAAAACGTTTCTCTCGGTCTAAAACATTCCGCAGGCTTTTCTTGGTATCCTCTAGCTCGCTGATCACATGATCTAATTTATGCTTAAGTTTCTTTGGACTGTCCATTACACTGTAGCTATGTTCCTAAAAACATAAACACCAAGTTAGTAAACCAGACAGATAAGTACCTAAAAGCTTATAACTAGGCTCAGCTGTTTCTCCAAATTTACTGTGCTTATAGAAGGTCTCCCAGTTGATGACAGTAAGAAGTTTAAAGAACATAAGGAGAGGATGAGGGCGGCAGCAGTGTTTCAGGTGCCTGGGGCCTCTTTCTCTGGGCTAAGCCTAGGTAGACCTGGGGAGTGCACAGTACCTGGGTGGGATGAACTTCTCCTTTCGAGGTAGGTATCTGCTTATGAACACCATGGTACTCACAATGACTACACAGCTTTTGTTCCCTAAGTGTGGGGCTGCTAAGTTTAAGTTTTATCTATAAAACAAACTTCCATTCTTAAACTTGTAAATGAGTTACTTTATTTTGATGAATATTTGACTTTATAAGGGAAGGAGCACTGACTGAAGCAGGTCCTTGGGCTGGGTGTTATGGGTTTAGAGAGGACTCTGGCCTTGAATTTCTGAAGAGATAATTTGTTCTCTCAATATTTATTATGATTATGCTTATGTTTGCTGGGTATACCTTTTTTTAATTTGAAAACAGGGAAAATAACACTGACATTTATAAAGGTACTATATAATAATTTTGAAAAGCTTTTTATTTAATATTAAAATTAGTGAGGAGACCTTTTGCTTCCAGCCAGAAATAATAGAGACTGGAGTGACTCCCACCTAAAAAACATTTTGACATAATGAATGGCAGGCAAGGAAGGAAGCGATGGTGGAGAGATGGGAAACAAAGAGTTGGCCCTCTGATCGCCTGCTGTGGCTCACTCCCTTGAGAGAGACTGTAGGTCTCAGTGCAGGGAGTGGAAACACAGGCAGAGCCTGGTGAACTGAGTTGGAAAGATAGTGCAAAGCATCCAGGGAGCCTGAGGTGGCTACAGTTCACAGGATAAAGAACTAGAGAGGAGAGATCTGCACAGAGAGAACTCTGCAGATCCACAGAAGCTCCCTGTCTCCCCCCACAACAGTATTCTGAGTAAGATCAGAGCACGTGAGTGGGAAACTGCTCAAGGCTGAAGAATGAATGACCAAAAAAGATTAGGAGTGCACTGTGCTCACAGGGCATAGCCATGCTTCCACCAGCCAGACTAGAAACCTTCAGGATTCGTGGGGCACAGAGTATATTGAAGGGTCTTGCCTCTGCAGTGGAGAACAAAAACGTCTGAGCACTGCTCGGGTCCTGCCTGCCAAAGTTAAACCTGAAAGGATCAGACTGTTTCCAAATAACTTAACTATATCCCAGAACAAAGTCAAGAATACAGCATGCAAAACTATCCAGCATCCAGCTGAGTAAAATCCACAATGTGTGGCACACAAAACTTACCAGGCATCAGAGGCAGGAAAATATGAGCCACAGTACTATATAACCAATCAACAGAAACCAACCCAGAATTGATGAATGTGTTAGAATTAGTAGACAAGGGAATTGAGAAAGTTATTAAGACTGTATTCTGTATGTTCAAAAGTTAAGTAGAGACATGAAAGATATACAGAAAATCAAACAGAACATCTAGAAATAAAAACGATATAAGGTGTGAGGTGAAAATATTTTGGAGGGGATTAACAGCAGATTAGACACTTCAGAAGAAAAAGACTACTGAAGATGAAGACATAGTAATAGCAACTGTCCAGAATGGACTACAGGGTTAGAAAAAGGAGTATTTAAAAAAAAATGAACAGAGAATCAGTAAGTGGTGGCACAACTTCAGACAGCCTAATGTACATGTACTTAGATTCACCAAAGGAGAAGGAAGAAAAGTTGAGGTAAAAGAAATATTTGAAGAAATCATAGCCAAAAATTTTACAAGTGTGATAAACACTATAAACCCACAGACAAAACAGCTCAACAAATCCCAAGCACAAGAAATGTGTAGAAAACTAAACCAAGGTACATCATAATCAAATTATTAAAAAACATTGGAAAAGAAAAATTCTTAAAAGCAAAGAAAAAAAGAAACGTAGGTAAAGAGGATAAAGTATGACAGTAAATTTGTCATTAGAAACAATGTTTGTGAGAATACAGAGTAGCAACATCTTTAAAGAACTAAAATCAACAAACTCCGAAACTGTCAACATAGAATTTGATATCTAGTGAAAACATGTTTCAAAAATAAAGACTAAATAATGACTTTTTGAAGACATATAGAAACTGAAAGAACTTATCACCAGCACAGCCGCACTGTAAGAAACATTAAAGACAGAGGATGATACGGACTGAAACAAAGGAATAAAAACCGCTGGCCACGGCTACTACGTGGGTAACATAAAAGATTTTTTCTTGTTATTTAAATCTCTTTAAAAGATAATTTACTGTTTAAACAAAGTAATAATAATGCAACGTGGGGTTCATAGCATATGTAAAAGTGAAATGTATGACAAGCAGTAGCACAAAGGTTGGAGAAATAAAAGTATATTATTGTAAGATTCTTATACTAAATGTTAAGTAGTTTAATATCACTTATCATGTAGCCTGTGACTAATTAAAGGTGGATGCTATAGACCTAAAAGCAACTATTAAAATGAAACAGTTACTGCTAATGAGTAAAAATAAAAAGGAGGGGGATACAATGGAATCATAAAAGAATTAAATTAATCCCCCCTCAATAAAAAACAGAAAATGAAGAAAATGGGAATAAAGAATATAAATAGAAAAAATAGGGGATGACTACAATTACAGATTACTTGTTAGCAAGATTCCTAAACTAAACCATATCAATAATCATATTAAGTGTAAAGGGTTTAAATAACCCAATTAGAAGGCAGAAATTATCAGATTAGATTAAAAAAATTCAAGATCCAAAAGCATATGCTGCCTACAAAAATTGTACTTCAAAGATAAAAAGACACAAATAGGTTGAAAGTAAAGGAGTGGGAAAAGATATACTATGATAACACTAACAAAAAGAGGGCTACAGTGGGTATATTACTATCAGACAATATAGATTCAGACAAAGGATATTACCATGAATAGAGAAGGTCATTTCTTAATAATTAAGGGTTAGTTTATGAAGCTGTAATAATACTAAATATTTAGTACCTAATGCTGCAGAAAGTAAGGAGAAAATACTGACAACTGCAAGAATTAGACAATCTGTAATTATACTAGAAGATTAAATACCTCTCAATAACAAACAAGTAGACAGAAATTTAGTAATGATGAAGGCTTGAACATTATCAAACATTTCAATCACACTGACATTTATAAAACATTGTAGCTAACATGACCAGAACATACATTCTTTGCAAATGCACAGAGAACATTTGCCAAGATAGACCATATTCTGGGCTATAAGCCTCAAAAAATTTAAAGGCATTCAAGCCATGCAATGTATATTCTCTGTCCACAACAGAATTAGAAATTAATAACATATCTTGAAAATTCTCTAATATTTGAAAGCTACATAGCAAACTTCTAAACACATGGATCAAAGAATAAATCAAAATTGAATTTAGAAGCATTTTAAACTAAATAAAAATGAAAATATAACATTTAATTTGTGGAATGCTGCTAAAGCAATACTTATGGAAAAATTAATATCACTAAATACCAATATCAGAAAGGAAGAAGCCCCAAATCAATGACCTCAGCTTCCATCTAAAGACACTAAAAAGATGACAAAATTTTACTGAAATAAGCAGAAATGAGATTACACAGATGAGTGGAGATCAGTGAAGTAAAAAACAAAGACAACAAAACAAGTGAGAAAATGAAAGCTAGTTATTTGACATGATCAATAAAATTGATAACTCTCTAGGTAGACTGATCAGCGATAAAAGAGAATAGAAACAAATGATCAATATCAGAAACGAGATGATATCCCTACAGATCTTATAGATATTAAAAGGATAATAAGGAAATATTATGAACAATTTTAAGCTAATAAACATGTCAACTGACAAAAATACAAGCTACCAAACAATCTTTTCCACAAAGAAAACTCCAGGCCTAAATAGCTTTGCTAGGGAATTCTACCAAATATTTATAGAAGAAATAATTAATTCCAATTCTATACAAATTCTTCAAGAAAATCAAAAAAGGAGGCAATATTTTCTAACTCATTCTCTTGAGTTCAGCATTGTTCTGATACTGAAACCAGACAAAAATACTAAAAGGAAAGAAAACTACAGGCCAATATCACTCTTGAACATACAAGAAATATTCTAAACAAAATTTCAATAAATCAAATCCAATTATATATACAAGACATAATCCTTCATTAAGAAGTAGGGTTTATTCTAGGAATGCAAGTCTGGTTTAACATTGAAAAATCAATTGATGTAACTAAACATTAACAACATAAAAAGAAAAACAATATGATCTCTCAATAGATATAAAAAATCATTTGACAAAATTAACATTATTTTCTGATAAAAACTCTCAGCAAACTAGGAATAGAAGGGCATGTCCTCAATCTGATAAAGGGCATTTATAAAAACTATAGTTAATATCATATTAATGTCTTTAATAGTGAAATTTTAGGAATTTCTTCCTAAAATGAGGAGCAAAGCATGAAGCTGTGGGCAAGTAGCTCAGATGGTTGAAGCATCATCCCAGTATGCCAACATTGCAGGTTTGACCCTGGTCAGGGCACATACAAGAATCAACCAATGAATGCCTGAGTGGAACAACATATCGATGTTTCTCTCTCTCTCTAAAATCAATAAATAAAAATTAAAAATAAAATGTAGCAAGGCACAGAGATTAGTTCTTAGTAATTCTGTTCAGCATAGCGCTTGGTTCAAGGCAGTACAACAAACCAAGAAAAAGAAATGAAAGTTATTCATATTTAAAAAAAGAATTAAGACTGTTTTTAATGATACACACCATGATGTAGAAAATCTAATAGCTTCTACAAAAAGTTTTGACAATTAACATATGAGTTTGGCAAGTTTTCCAGATACCATAATCAATATATAAAAATCAATTGTATTTCCATATAGTAGCAGTAAATAAAACAATACCATTTATAAAAATGAAGTGAAAAATCTGTCCACTGAAGACTATAAAACATTGCTGAGAAAAGTTAAAAACCTAAATAAATGAAGAGATATAATCAGTTCATGGGCTGAAAGACTTAAATTAGTCTTATTAAGATGATGATTCTTCCCAAATGATCTGTAGATGCAACACATTCCCAGACAAAATTCTAGCAGGCTTTTTGGTAGACATTTATAAAGTGGTTCTAAAATTTATCAAATAAGATGCAAAGAACACAGAATATCCAAAGCAACTTTGAAAAAGAACAAAGCTGGAAGACTACCTGATTTAAAGAATGATTATAAAGCTACAGTAATCAAGGTAGTAAAGGAGATTTGGACTCCAGACCTGCTTCTAATATGAACACACAGTAAGACGAATAAGTGTATGCAAGATTAACTACTCTGCACATGTATGACTGTTCTTTAAAACCTAAAGATGTAACTATTTCTTAAATTAGACATTTCCATATAAAACTATAGTACCTAAGGGGAAGAAGTAATTACTGTAACTTCTTGGTTGAAATATCCTTGTGAAAGCATTATCTGAACTAGATATGTAACTGAAGGATTAACTACCTCTATATTATTATTGTATTATAACAGCCCAGGGAAACACTATTATTTTTGGATATTACAGATTAAAAGTAATTCTCAAATGCCTAATTTTTTGGATAAGATTTCAAAAGTTTTAATACTAATGGAGAGGACAAATTCATCTTAAAAATACCAACATTAGCTCTGTAAGTAATTTTACTTACAAAAACGAACTGGGATTGAAATTCTTCAATACACGAGGAAGCACCAACAAGCTGGCGGTTGTGGTTTGTGACTGGGAGGGTCTTGAGGGTGAAGTTTTTTCTACAGTGAAGTTTTTCTCTTTTCTCCTGTTGAGAATTGTTAATAACAATTATGGTAGATACTTCTGTCCTTTCAAAGTTTTTATTCCTTCCTAACTATAGTAAAATTAATACATTTCTTTTCATGGAAACTGCTGTTAAGTCAGCAAATTTTAAATTCCACTGAAATTATTTTAAAGGAACCTTCCCCAAATTACTCTAAAGTTAATCTAGAAACACAAATTTTCCTAAAAAAGAAGAGTGATAATGAGGGAAGTTATGTCCTATAGCAGTGATTTACATACACATCCCTGGGCCCCAGAAATCCCACATCCAACAGAAGTGTGCACATACTCTTTAAAAAAGTGTACATAAGTGCATCATAGGACATAGACTAAGATGTTCCTAGTTGAATGGGGAAATTATAATTTACTTATAAAATGGAGTATTATAGTGCAAAAAAAATTAAATGGACTACTATCACATGCTACAATGTGGTTGAATCACACCAAGTGTTGAGCTCAAGAAGCCAGAGTATACACTGTCTGACTCCATTTACATCACTGACAGTGACAGCAGCTACCCTTGTGGGTGTAGGGTTGGGTAAGAGTGTGAGGGAGGCTTCTGGGGCACTCGTAGCATCCTATAGCTTGGTCTGAGGGGAGTTACATGAGTGTTCATTTTGTGCAAGTTCACTGATATGTGTGTGCGTGTGTGTATATATATATATTTAAGATCTGTGCACTTTTCCATGTATGTTATACTTAAATGTAAAGTTTAGTTAAAAAATTGATGTTCTATATAAGTATTCTCTTAAAAATGTGATCTACAGATCTGCAACACAAGCATGTAGGGTGCTTGTTGTAAAGTACAGATACCTAGACTCTAACACAAATTTATTGAATCAAATTCTGTAAAAGAGGGGCAAAGGATTCTGCATTTAAACAAGCTTCTGGATAAGTCTTACATAGGCTAGCAGTTGAAAGCCACTGTTGTGAAAAAATACAGACGAGGGCAAATGTAGGTTTACAGTTGTTAGTATGTGAAACAGTTTATTCTTGTATTACTTTTCACAGGAACAACTGTATACCTACTTTTGCCCCAGTCTGTATTTAACATCATGGAAAACAGTAGTTAAGAGTGTACTCTGGAGCCAGAATACCTGGGTTCAATTCCAGCCTCTGCCTTTTTAATAGCCGTGTGACCTATTCCAGTTCTCTGGACCTCAGTTTCCCCAATGGTAAAATGAGAATAATAATAGTATTTATCTCATATGACTGTTGTTAGGACTAAATGGATGGATAATATATGTAAAGTGCTTAGAATGATTCCTGGCACACAATAAGTAATTTCTTTTCAAAAAAAGAAATAGAAGCAAATAAGAAAGAGGACATACACAAACACAGATGTACAAATGACTGAAAACATACTCACCAGAGTGTTAACAGTATTATTTCTACATTATGTGATTAGGAAATAGTTTTTGAAAGTTAGTAACTTAGGCTTTATTTGGATAATTACGCCCACATTACTTAAGGTCCTTTTAACATTATAGATAGATGACACCTTACTATACGGAAAAAACCTTTAGAGAAAATTGCACAAGACACTGCACATTTATTATCAGGAAAGAAAGTGAGGCAGTCTCGATTTGATAACTGAGGTGCCACAATGGGAACGACTGCAGAAAGCGGCCAAGACCGCATGGGTGCAGCTCATGGTTGTGGACTACTGCCCGTGTTTCCAGCAGCCGGGAAGGAGATGCCTTTCCCTGCTATTGAAATGAAACTTTCCACATTGGAATCAGGCAGTTTAGTTTTTGGAAGCAAATACATTTCCAGGTATGTGAAGTCAGGAAAGGTACTGGGGAGGCAGCCAGCCCATGGCACTAATATAACTGAGAAAAAACAGAATTCAACTAGAATTTACTTATAGTTGACTTATAGTTGACTTATAGTTTACTTATAACAATTCTGTTATTTTCTTTTTCTGACCTCTTAACTACTTACATTCTCCTGTTCTTATCACATTTTGGTTTTCCTTCTTTCAGTCCTACCTAGGCTTTAAGTCTGAATGTATGTGGCTCTAAAAGTGTATTTTGGTCCTGATTGAGGCTCTGCTCTTGACTTTTGCTCAAGTGTGAGGAGGGCTGTCCACCCTCTGATGTTCCTCTGTTTCAGTTACAAATCTTGAGTTATGCTAAATCCTAGGGTCCACTTCACCAAACCTTAGTAAAGTACAAATATTTCAGATAAAACATTACTGGTCAAATACTCCTACTACATGTTACAAAGTGTGAAGCAGCACTTTACATATTTAAAAGCTTAAGGATTTCAAAGCAAGTATGGTGAAGCTTCTTCAATAGTACCATAAAGAGTGAGTCATGATGGTGAATGGTACCTCATAAACAAACCTGAAAGTGAGATGGGGAATCAAAGATAGAAGGTATGACTCCAGGTTTCAGTTTAATATTTGGAGCACTTCTGTCAAAATCTGTCTTCTTAAAGTGCCTTGAACATAACACATCTCCTTTTTTAGGCTCCCAAATGCCTGCAGCATTTACATCAAGTCTTTTCATTGCTAATACCCATTTTCTTTTGACATTTTCATCTGTGGGGAATCTAGAAAAAAATAGAAAAAGTATTTTAAAGTTAAATACTATTGATATTATTTTTGATTAAGGCTGTGACTAAATCAATTCCTTAACTAGTTTGTTATTACTCTTGGGAAATATTACGGAAACCATCAAGATCCATGCTTTCAGTTTTAATAGATTTTTCTACCAATCATAGTGTAGATTAATGACCCCCATTTAAATTTTTCTCATGTTATAAAACAGTTTCAAAGGATATTTAATACTGTATAGTAATATCCTGTAGTAATATAGTAATAAAGACAGCTGAAGGTTTGTCTTTATCCATAGATGATAAAGAACATCACTTGGGCCTTTTCCTATCTGAAGTCATATCCAGAATTTATCCTGGGAAAGAGCCCCTGGTATTTTTATTGTGTTAGCATTGCAAAGTAAAGCATTTAATACACAACTTAGTCTGTAAGAGCGTAGTGAATGAATGCAGGGAACACCTGCATTTTGGCCTTCTTGGGATCAGAACTATTTTGAGATTTAGAGGCCAAAAACCTTATACCTTTTCTAGTTTTCTAAGCTGGTTCAAATCCTTTCCAGAATAAGGTAGAGGACACATACTCACTTTTGATTTCCTTATACCAAGCAGAGTACTTACTAGATCTTTCTCTAGCACATAGCACAGTGCCTGGCACAAAAGCAGCAAAATAAATCTTTAGCAAATGAATAATTATTAAATTTTACTGCTCCTATACTATCAGAAGAGTGGCTAAAATACTAAATTAGAATAATCTTGATTTATGTGCAATACAGCTAGAGAATTATTGGTCTGAACCTGTAATTTATATTTTCTCTCTACAGCCTAAACTTGATGTTTCTAAACTTAAAGGACAGAATATACTTGGGCAAAGATCCTTCATTCAAATTAGAAACTACATGTAAACAACACTGCATTTCTTTGTAGGTATGTTGAAGTGCAAAGTAATGCTAGCAAACATGACTTGGATGATATTTTTGTTAACCAGACAGATACCTTGGCAGGTATTTTAAACCTTTAAATTATAAAAATGTAAAGGTATCACTGTCACTTCAAATTTAACTTAAAAAGTTATTTAAAAAGAACTTGGGAACTAAAGTTCAAAACTGAAATTTTAAGTAAAACTGCTTTTTGCTTTTTAAAGTACTTGGCTTAACTTCAGCAAAATCTTACACGTGAAATGTCAGTCCTTTTAATTTGGAATTTGGCAAACAGCGAGAAGCACATCCAATCGCCGAGCAACATTTCACCATGATTTTAGCAACTCATAACAGAACTGAAAGAAAATTAAAGTTCAGAGTTAGTAACTTCAAAGCTAAGGGGAACATATTTACCTTTCTCAGTACATTTCAGGTAAAGTGAAATCATGCTAGACAGCCAAAGGCAAAAATTTTCTTCCCACACCTGCAGCTTTGCTCATAAAAATTTCCAGGGGTTTGGCCCTTTAATAAGGCAAGTCATATTTAGCTATGCACGTGCTCAAGCATACGATTTCAATTCCACGGGCTTATTTGTACAATTCCTTTCCACTGCTTCTTTCCACGTTCTCGCTCCACGGGCTTTAGCACACTCAACCTCTCCTGGCATTCTAACCCATCCTCAACCTTCAGCCCCTGTTGCTTTCCCGGGGAAACCTTCCTTGACTCCCAGATTAAATCAGATCCCCTCTGGCATTAGCTCTCGTAGAGCATACACTTCATTCTAGCACTTCTCAAAGTTCTAATCTTAGATTTATTTCAGATATTCTCTGAGGTCTTTCTCCCCCACCAGCCTGTAAATTCCCTGACGGCACGGTGAGGCGTGTTCTTCCTCACTGTTTGTCCCCATGACCTAGCTGGTGACTGGCACACAGTAAATGTTAATACATATTTTGAAGGAATGAAGAGCAAGTACAGGGGTAGGGGAGGACAAAAGGAAGAACGCAGCCCCAGGAACGAGTGAGTGCGGCGGTGCCCAGCAGAAGCGGAGCACGCCCGGGCACCACTCGTAGCCCGGAGGCGGGCCGAGCTCCGCCCCTTTCTCGAGGTTCCCAGCTCCCGCAGGGAAAGAGGGAGGGGCCGCTCTGTCAATAGCGCGGCCGCAGAGGGGCCCTTCCCTGGAGGTCGCCGGACGTCGCCGGGCATCTCCGCACCGCTGCAGTCCTCCTCGCCCCAACCACGCCCAGAGTTCGGGCGGGAAGCCATGGGGTGGGGAAAGAAGAGGCAACTTAAGAGTTATTACCGTTAGCAGCGAAGGCAAAGACTAACATCGACGACAGAGATTGCGTCTTCCTTTGCTTCCGTCCCGTCAGCCGGAAATCCGATTGCCCCGGGTCACGTGCTCAGTCGCCATACTGGCTCTGGTGGCAGCTGTCTCCGGGAGGGGGTGTGCTAGGGCGGCACTGCTTCTCTGTGCGTAGTTTTCCTTCTAGGAGAAGGGTCCTTGGAGTGTAAGGGGAGGTAGAGGAGATGGCGGCCTTGGTGCGGGAAGATGGCGCCCGAGGCCCAGAGAAAGGGCGTCGGGGCTGCGAGCATTATGACAGAGGATGTCTCCTGAAGGTGACGACTTCATTGGGCTCTTCCTCTACGAGCTTCCGCCGGGCCGGGCTGGGGGCGGGGTGGGCGAAGGGGTTAGGTTTGGGCTTAATTTGAGGTTAGGCTGTTTGTCAGGCTACGTTCTCCACCTCGAACTGGGTTCCTACCGCAGAGAACGTTCTTGGCAAGGCGTCCACAGGCTTACCTCACCTCATGTTTTGTGGTTTGCAAGCAGAGCCCTTTTTGCTTGGGTAGAACCTGGGTTGCACAGTGATAATTTTATGAGTGGGTTTTTCGCTGCTGGAAGTAGACTGAGGCAGCCTTGGGCCTGTGCCTTCTTTTCCCCAGGATCCCTTTCGGGGCTGTGATGAAATAATGGAAACGGGATAAGCAAGTAGAGACTCGGCCTATGATTTCAGCACCTGTAGTAGATAAGTTTTACGGCTTGCCAGCTTCATTTTAGAGTCAATGAGTGTGCTCAAACCTGCCAAGGAGAAAACGTATGTGTGAAATAGTAAGACAGTCATTTAACTGCCAGTAAGTAGAAAATTATGGAAAGGGCAGTACCTGGTATGCATATATTGTTATTTTTGCTGTTTACTTTGAGAAAAATTCCTAGTCAGTCTAGAATTTTTAAAATTGGCACCCATCTAATTCAAGTTTCCTGATTTTTCTTGCAAGAAACAGTTTAAAGATTTTGTTTAGAAAGCTTGAGATTTGGAGTCCCACAGCCGTACACCGAAATCTTAGCACTGCTTGGTAAATAACGCAGTGATTTTGAGCAAACTACCCTTTAAGTGCCCCATATGTAAAATGCGAGTAATAGAAGTTCCTGTTGCATTAGAACTAGGAGGCCTTTAGGGATAATCTAAAACCTTTTTGCAGGCCATGGTTTGGTGAATATTCCTCTGCTGCACTAAATGAGCTCTTTGAAAGTTGCTCATTCACCCAATGTTGTGTAAGGAATTGAATACTATCATTATGATTTCATTTCCACTGAGTTGTTCTGCTACTCTTCCAAGGTTGAGATCTAAAACTGAATTCAACATCTTGGTCTTCTCTTCAAACCCCAAGAAACTATGCAGATATTGATTCTGTGTTTCATAGTACTAAGATACTGGGCTCTGAGTTATCAAATACTTTTTTGTCTTTTTCCCTCTGTCTTCCGTAAATACCAGAGGCCAAGTGAAGAGTTTTTAGGAAGAAGTAACCAACTAAATCAAGGGGTGCTGTTTGAGTAAGATAAGAAGTAAAAATTGACCTTTAGATTGGTCAAGGAGGAGGTAACTGTGATCCTGTGGAGATATTGGGATAAGCCTTAGAGGTATGGATTCAAGAGAGAATGGGAGTAGTGGAACTGGGTAGCGATCTTTATAGACAACTCTTGGAGTGTTCTTGTAAAGGAACAAAAATATGAAACTGGTTGCTGGGAGATGTGGGTTTATGGGATTTTTCCCCGTTTAAGATGGGAGTTATTGTAGTAAGTTGGTATATTCTTGGAAATGACCCGATAAAGTGAGAATTATTTTATAATGCAGGAGGGAGGGGGGGAAACTGTAGGGGCACTGTCCTTGAGCATCCAAAGAATATGGAATCCAGTGCACAAGAGGAGGAGTTAGCCTTAAATAATAACATGGACTGTTGGTTCTGTAACAGAGGGGAAGATAGAGTATGAGGTGTATTTGTAAGTAGGTTGATATGGGAGGATATTCCGTTATTTCTACTGTTTTCATAGTGAAATAAGCAAGGTCGTTCAGCAGATTGTAAAGAGGGAGGAAGAGGTGTTTGAGGTTTAAGACAGGTCCTAAACTCTGAAAGAAAGAGGGTAACTGGGGAAATATGGTAGTAAGAGCTCACTGGTTTTTTTAGTGGTTATGACTTTAAAGAGACAAGTCAGTGTCGGAGTGCTTTTTCTTCAGCTGTGTTCAGCTGTTCATATATACGTTAAATAGGAGAGACTTGGATTTAACCAGTTGAGATTCTGGGTTGGTGAGCATGTAGAGGAAGAGAGAAGGAACTCCTAGAAAGGAAGGACTGGAGTGAGTTAGAAAGAGATGTTTAGAGAAGTCCATGCTTGAGATTAAGTTACAAATAGTATTCAGTTGTTCTAGAGCTGTGTTCTGGAAGTGTGGAATGGACCCCTGGTGATTCCTGGGGCCCTTTCTGGGGATCCTCAAAGTCAAAACTACATTCTGATAATGATACTAAGGCATTATTTGTGTTTCGTTTTTTTTCAGTATGTGCAAAAATAATGATTAAAGCTTCTGGCACCATAGCAGGAAGCAAGGCAGTGGCACTGAACTGTGCTACACCTACAGTTAAATGAAATGAAATGAAATGAAATGAAATAAAAAAGCCAGGTTCACTCAAGAATGTCATTGATAAAATTACAGCAGTAGAATTACTGATTTTATAAAATCTTGTCCCTTGATGCATCTTTTCACATGTTTGAGGAAATGGGATGTTTTCATCAACCACTTCTGCAAACTGAAATTAGGCAGTTTGGTAGTTAGGTAATAAAAGGAAAGGCTGTTGTGCATTTGAATTACGAATGAACTATTTGCATTTTTCATAGTACAGCATATTTTTACTTGAACTATGGTTATTGAAGCTTGAGTGTTTGGAGGACATTTTCTCAAAAAGTGAAGTGAGACTGCCATTACAAGGTAAACAACCAACAGTGATAAAATTTGAGTTTTCATGTACAAAGTAGGATTTTATCTCAGCTCCAAGAGCTTGAATATTTCCCAATACCTAAATAATTTTCTGATGAAGTGGGTAGTGATATTAACATGTGATTTTTTGATATTGCATGTCAAATATGTTAACATAGGAAAGATCTGCATAATTTGGTGAACTGATACTTTCCAAATGAACAAAAGATACATTCAAAGTTCAAGATAGGTCAGTGGGTTTTAATGTAATGGGGAAAAGTTTACTGATGTGATGTCAGAGTCTGTGTTGCAACCAACGATTTCTAAGAGTTGTTGAGTTTTGGTGTAGTATCAGAAGAGTATAATTCTCTGAAAAGACTATTAAAGTAGTCCCTTTCCATGTACTTATTTGTGTGAGTCCAAAATTTCTTCATGTACTTCAACCAAAACTCATTGAATATAGAAGCAGAACTGAGAATCCAGCTATTTTGGGGGGAAATATAACTTATTTTTTATTAAAATGTTATTTATGTTAAGATGTAGTGGATTTGTTACTGTTATTTTAAAAAGTATTAAATATTTTTAAAACCTGTCAGTTTTAATTTATAATATAGTATCAATAGATATAATTCACATAAAAGCTCTGTGGGACACTCAATTTTTAAGAGTGTAAAAGTGTCCTAAGACCAAAATGTTGGAGAACCACTGTTATAGAGTGTGACTGGGCATATGTGGCTGAGGAGGTTGGAGGACAAGGCCATTGGAAGTGAGAAAGTCAGGGAATTGAAAGTTCATGGCATTGGAAGGATTATCATTGTGGATGTTCAAATCACTAAGATTTAGGACAAGAGAGTGTTGGAGAGAAAGGTAGCCAGTTGAGTGTTAAAGACTTCAAAGAGTGAACTGTATTATGGTAAGTCATGGCACAGGAAGTCTTCAGAGATGAGTGGAGCTAAAAGGTCACAGTGTACTGGGAAGTATTGGGTTAGTCTAGTAGCCTGGAAACGTCTTAATGTACTAGTTAGGGTCAGGCAACATTGCTATAACAAAAAGTCTCAAGTAAGGTGGGTTAAAGAATGAGTTTATTTCTTTCCATTTACAATTCCAAGGTGAGTGATCACTCCAGGGACAGTTTTTACCATTGTATTATTTTGCCATGTTTTAGGGCATATAGTCATCAGCTGAGTTACTCCATGTCCAGGTTTCATCTTATGGAAAGGGAAAAGGGAGCATGAAGGAAGAGTCATGCCTACTTAATATTCAGACCCAGGGGTGGCACTGATGTCTTTGGCCACAACTAACAGCAAGGAAGGCTGAGAACTATAGTACAGCTGGGCAGTCATGTTCCCAGGAGGAAGTAGGGAACAAATTTTGGTGGACAACTCGCAGTCTTTGCCACTCTCGAAAACAAGGACCATTTGTCACATACATTGTATCCTCTAAAACATCAGGCATGTAGTTGATTAATAAACACAAGTGAACTAAAATACAATCTTTACAATATTTAATGTTTAGGTACTGAAGTAAGTAAATGAATTTATCTGGAAATGTCTATAAGAAGGTGGTGGCTTGCCATTTAGGCTAAGAATGTGTTCAGGGTGTTGCAGGATTACTTTTTCAGCCTAGGGATTTCTATTCATCATGATTGTTTTGTCTTTAAGGACAAGGTTGTGTTCAACTTCATACAGACATATAGATGTTGAAGAGAATAGTTAAAATATACCAAGAAATAGTGAAATATTATGCTTAAGATTAGCTTACCCAACAAATCCATTGGTTGCAATGTTTGATCTTGTTCCAGGAGGAGGAAGAAGATTTCATTTTTTTGTTTGTTTGTTTGTTTAAAAGATTTTATTTATTTATTTTTAGGGAGGGAAGGGAAGGAGAAAGAGAGAGAGAAACATCAATGTGTGGTTGCTGGGGGTCATGGCCTGCAACCCAGACATGTGCCCTGACTGGGAATTGAACCTGCGACACTAGAAGATTTCATTCTGCATTGCCAACTTGTCTTCTCTTGCTTCTTTTAACGCTTTCTCCCCCCTGGTCATTAGGCACCTTGCTGTGACAAGTTGTATACTTGCCGGTTGTGTCATGATAACAAGGAAGATCATCAGCTAGATCGCTTTAAAGTAAAGGAAGTGCAGTGCATAAACTGTGAAAAAATTCAACATGTAAGATTTTACCACATTTCTGTTTCTTTATTTTTAAAAAATTTTTACTGAAGTGGTTTAAAAATTCAATCAAGTATTGCCAAGTAAGAAACTCTCAAAGTAGGCAATACCTTTGATTTAAAAGGTTTAAAAACTTGTTTAAATAAAACTGCATACACTTTAACATAAATTCTGGATATTCAAATATAATTCAAAATGTTTTGGTAAATTTATCCCAATTTTTAATGATATGTACCTTTTTTTAGGCCCAACAGACTTGTGAAGAATGTAGCACATTGTTTGGAGAATATTACTGCAGTATATGCCATCTGTTTGACAAAGACAAGAAGCAGTACCACTGTGAAAACTGTGGAATTTGTAGGTACTGTATGTGAAATGTTCCTTTCTAATTCTAATGTATCTGGACAATAATAGTTTTTAAAAATCAACTTTATTGGAATATAATTTACATCTAGTAAAATACATGCATTTAAGTGTCCAGTTCAGTAAATTTAGCTAATATCTATATCTATGTTATTAGTAACACAGTCAAGATAAAAGAAAATTTTCCATTCTAAAAAGTTTCTTCATGGTTTTTTGTAATAATCATTTAATTAGCCCACCAACTATTGTGTGGCTATTTAACATTTTAATTGGGATATAAAATATGTTTGTATATGAAGGGTTTGGCAGGCAACTGAGGTGAAAATCAGGGAGAATTTTTCCTTTTAAAATTAGTTTTTAAAAAGATTATCAAAAGTTTTGATAAAAATCAGAAAATACAGAAAAGTAGAAGGAAAAAGAGCTTACAATCCAACCACTCATTGACAAGCTACTATTGACATGTTGGTGTGTAGGAATTTTTTTCTTTCTAAAAAAATCCTGAATTATACAAAAGCATATCTGTGATGTATATATGTTTTGAAGTATAGTAATAAACAAAACCACTCAGTTTAAGAACTAGAATGTTACTAAGGTTGTTGATACTTCTAGTGTTCTCTATCAATCCTTTCTCTATATTCCCATTGGAGATACTGTTTTGAATATTTTAAATCACTTTCTTGATTTTGTTTTATAGTTTGTTTTTAAGGAAGGATAACAAACACACTGAAAGATGCAAAAATCATAAACAGCATTATGAGTTTGATTATGAACACACTCTTTTTTTTTTAAGATTTTATTTATTTTTAGAGAGGGAAGGAAGGGAGAAAGAAAAACAGAGAGAAAGAGAGAGAGAGAGAAACATCAATGTGCAGTTGTTAGGGGCCGTGGCCTGCAACCCAGGCATGTGCCCTGACTGGGAATCAAACCTGTTGTGCTTTGGTTCGCAGCCCACGCTCAATCCACTGAGCTACACCAGCCAGGGCATGAACACACTCTTTTAACCACCACCCAGATTAAAAAAAATAGAATATTCATAATACTTGAGTAGACTTCCTTTTGCCCTACGTCATTACTTCCCCAAGATAACCACTCTCCTCTGACTTTTTGTACATGTTCTTTTGTGTTTTGTTTTATATATTTTAAGGCAATATTATTGGGTGCTTACATAGGCTTGTTATATTTTCCTTTATGATTGACCTATTTATTATTATGTGTCTGGTTTTATCTTTAGTAATGTTTCCTGCCTTAAGATCCAGTGTATCTATATCAGCTTTCTTTTTATTAGTTTTTGCTTGTATATGCTTTTTCATTCTTTATTTTCAAACATTTTGTATATTTACATTTATGCTGTATATCTTGTAAGCAGAATATGAGTGTTTTTACTGAGTTTGATAAAGACTGATTTTTAAATTAAACTATTTAGTCCATTTATTAATATAATTATACTTCGTTGACAATTTTAGTGTTTTCTGTTGCCAAAGTATCTGCATATTTGTCTTTTTTATCTCTCCTTTCTTACCTTCTTTTGGATTAATCAGCCTTTTCTATTTTATTTTTATTCTCTGTAAACTTATTAGTTGCACATTCTTTCATTAATCTCAGTGTCTAATTTTAGAAATTATAATATACATCCTTGGCTTACTCATGTAATACGTTTACCATTTCCCAGACATTGCAAGAATCTTAAACACTAAGAGGATTTATGTGCTATTGTTGTCATGTACTTTAATCTATATATATTTTAAACTCTATAAGACATTGTTTTGAACAGTCGGTACTCTTATATTAATCTGTGTATTTACAATTTCAATTGCTTTTTATCCTTTCTGCATCTTTTTTTTGCTTTTTAAAATTTAAATCATTTTTTACTTTTTAATTACAGTTGACATACGATATTATATTAGTTTCAGGTGTACACCCCAGTGATTAGACATTATGTAACTTACTAAGTGATCATCCCTATAAATCTAGTACCCATCTCACACTGTACATAGTTATTAGACTATTGACTGTATTTTCTATGCTGTACTTTATATCTCCATGAGTATTCTGTAATGACCAATTCATACTATTTAACCCCATCACCTTTTTCACCCATGCCCCCAGCCCTCCTCCTGTCTGGTGACTGAAACATGTTCTCTATATCTATGAATTTGTTTCTGTTCTGCTTTATTTATTTTGGTTTTTTTTTAGATCCATTTGTTGATAAATATATATTTATTGCCATCTGATATTTTTATCTTTGTTTTCTTCTTCTTAAAGAGACTCTTCCATATTTCATGTAATACTGGTTTTGTGATGATGAACTCCTTCAGCTTTTCCTTGTCTGGGAAGTTCTTTATATGTCCTTGGATTCTAAATGATAGCTTTGCTGAGTAATCTTGGTTGTAGGTCACTTTGAATATTTCTTGCCAATCTCTTCTGGCCTGCAGAGTTTCTATTGAGGAATCACCTGACTTATGGGAGCTCCTCTGTGGGTAACTTAACTGCCTTTCTCTTGCTGCTTTTAAGATTCCCCGTGTCTTTAACCTTTTGCATTTTAATTACAGTGTGTCTTAGTGAGGCTCTCTTTGGGTTCATCTTATTTCTTGTTTGGGACTCTGTGTTTCCTGGACCTGCATATCTGTTTCCTTTACTAAATTAGGAAAATTTTCTGTCATTTTTTATTTTATTTTATTTTTTAATTGATGTTTACATACAGTTGTCTCCATTTTCCCATCACCGTTTTCCGCTGTCATTGTTTTTAAATAGGTTTTCAATTTCTTGCTCTCTCTTCTTCTTCTAGCACCCCCATAATGTGAATTTTGCTACACATGGGTTGTCCCAGAGGCTCCTTACACTATCTTCCTTTTTCGGATTCTTTTATCTTTTTGCTTTTTCCAAAAATATTTATTTATTTACTTATTTTTAGAGAATGGGGAAGGGAGGGAGAAAGAGGAGAGAAACATCAATGTGCAGTTTCCTTTTAAGTGCCCCCAACTGGGACCTGACCTGCAGCCCAGGCATGTGCCCTGACAGATTGGAACTGGCAACCCTTTGGTTTACAGGCCAGCACTCAATCCACTGAGCCATACCAGCCAGGGCTCTTTTTGCTTTTCTGATTGGGTATTTTTTTGCTTCCTTATATTCCATATTGCTGATTTGATTCTTGACTTCATCTAGTTTACTGTTGTTTCCTGTAAATTATTCTTTAGTTTAGTTAGTGTATCCTTCATTTCTGAGTGGTCCTTTTTAACGCTGTTGAAGTTCTCACTAAGTTCAGTGAGCAAAGTTATAACCAGTGTTTTGAAACTTACATCTAGTAGTAGATTGCTTGTCTCCTTTTTGTTTACTACTTTTTTTGGAGTTCTGTTCTGTTCTTTCATTTGGGACATGCTTCTTTGTCTCCTCATTTTGACAGCCTCCTTGTCTCTATTTCTGTGTATTAGGTGGAACTGCCACATCTCCTAGACTGGATAGAATGGCCTATTGTAGGGTAGTGGCACTGCCTCCCCAATCACCCAAGCTGGGCATTTGAGGTATGGCCCTTGTAGGATCTGTGTATACCCTCCCCTTGTAGTTGAGCGTTGATTGCTGTTGGCATGTCACTAAGAGGGACAATCAACTGCAAGTACTGGCTACAACCACTGGCAGCCATGGAGGATCAGTTGTGCAGGGTCCTACCCCACAGAGCAGGACTTATTTCAGCAGGGCTTTGGTGCCCACTGAGTCTGTCGCTTGAGTGTATTATCATTGTGGAGGTGGCGGGTGGTGTTTTGCAGTGTTCTGATGCTGTCCACCAGGTGCTCTGGTTCTGAGATATCCTGGGAGATACAAGCCAAGTCAACTGCTGCCTATGTTCTCCCTGGGCTACAGTGATCTCCAGCCACCTGCTACTTGTGCTGGGTTTGTAGGTACCCAGTAGAAGCCAGGCTGTGAAACATGGCTGGCTGCTGCTAGTGCCTGGCCTGGGGCCCACTATCAAGAGGTACAGGGCATGCTGAAGCCAGATGCTGCTTGTTTGATAGATTTTAGGAAAGCCTGAAGTGGGAGCCCAGACAGACCATTCATATGAAAAAGCCATTGGAAATACCTAGGGTGGTGTGTGGGCCAACAAGTTTGATGAGGTGGGGTCTCAGGGAATCTCCAGAGCAAGGCAAATAGTAATAGCCTGGTCAGTGGAGACTCAGATATGGTACCTGCCTGCCAATTCTGTAGAGGGGACACTCATCAAAGGAAAAATGGCCTCAACCAGCATTTTCGTCTGGGAGAAAGCTGCTCCCCAGCTCTTGCTCTGATGTCAGACACTTCATTTCCACCCCATATGTCCCTGGTGCCTTAAGAGCTGCTCTCCCAGCCTAGGAGCTCAGAAAGAGTGAGTCACAGTAAGTCTCTGTGGGTCCTTTAAGGGGAGCTGCCTAGGACTTTAGAAGCCCTCCTCACTCAGCCTCAGTTCCCACTGGTTATGGGGAAGTTATGGGGACTTCTTTCCCCAGCACTGGAATCCTGGGCTGGGAACCCTCATTCTTCTGGGGGGACAGGACCTCTGCAGCCAAGATGTCCTTCCTGATTTTTATCTGCCACATGTGGGTGTGGGACCAGCTCATTCTGAGTCTCTGCCCCTTCTACCAGTATTGATATGGCTTCTTTAAATCCCTAGTTGTAGGAATTCAGCTTGGTTTCAGGCAGTTTGGAATTCTTGTTGTTCTGTAGTTTAGTTGTAATTTTAATATGGTTGTGGGAGGTTACGAGTATTGTGTTTACCTATACCATTATCTTAACTGAAGTCTCTCTCTTCTTTTTACTTTTGGGATTATTTTCCTTCTGCTTGAAGAATTCTGTTTAGTATTACTTTTAGTGAGGCTCTGCTGGTGACAAATTCCGGTTTTTGTCTCTTTGAAAATGCTTTATTTTGCCTTCATTTGAAATTTTTATCTTTGCTGGGTGTAGAATTCTAAGTTGACAGTTTCTTTCAGCACTTTATTCTGGTGCAGTGGTTTCTATTTAAGTCACCTATCAGGATTATTATTGCCTCCTTGAAGGTAATCTGTGTTTTATGCCCTTCTCAATGTTTTTAAGTCATTAATTTTTAGTAGTTTTCTCATGGTGTATTCAGGTGTGTGAGTGATATTTATCTGTCTTGCAGGTTGTAGAATTTCTTGAATCTGTGGCTTGATGTCTTCTGTCAGTTTTGAAATGTTCTTGGCCAGATAATGTTCTTGGAAATATTCTTAGCCAGCTAATTATCTTCAGATAATGTTTCCGCCCCATTCTCTACCTCTCTCGGGGCTCTCGGTACAGACCTTTTCACTGTGTCCCATATCCCTGTTATCTTTTTTCTGTGTTACCGTTTTTTTTTTTCCTTCATGCTTAAATTGAGTAGTTTCTATTAGTGTTTCTTCTAGGTCTCTGTTCCACGGTGTTTAATCTGCTGTTAAATCTGTTTTTTCATTTTAGTTTTTTTTTTAAATAGAATTTTCTTTTTTAAATCCCCCCTCCTGAAAGTTTCCAGTTCTTAGATGAAATTCTTCACTTTTTTTCTTGAACATATTAATTGCATATAATTTAAAGGCTGTATCTGTTAACTCCAATATCTTGGTTACTTGTGGGTCGGTTCTGTTTTTTATTTTTTTCTCCATTGGTGTTTAATTCTTTGGTTCTGCTTTTTGGTATGCTTGAGACTTGTTTTAGTTGGACATGGTATGTAAAAAATTGTATAACTTCTGGATACTATTTTGCAAAGACAATTTACTTTTCTGTTGGTAGGCAATTAATATAGAGATAGACCACCTTAATCCAATTAAGGATAGAGATAATTAGAGGCTAAGTTTTTCTAAGTCCTGTTCTATTTTGTTTCCCCTTATACTCAGGCTCCTGGGACACGGTCCCTTAGTAGTCTTAACTTAAAGCCTAGACCAAAATGGGATGGTCCAGGTTCTTTTTAGTAAATGCTGTGAATTGAAGTCCTTTCTATTGAGTAACCAGATGAGGGTATCATATTTCTTTTTTTTTTTTTAAGATTTTTTAAAAAAGATTTTATTTATTTTTACAGGCGGAAGGGAGGGAGAAAGAGAGAGAGAGAAACATCAATGTGCAGTTGCTGGGGGCCATGGCCTGCAACCCAGGCATGTGCCCTGACTGGGAATTGAACCTGTGATGCTTTGGTTCGCAGCCCGCACTCAGTCCACTGAGCTATGCCAGCCAGGGCTCATATTTCTTTTTGTCCTTAGAAGTATACTGTCAGTTGATTTTCTTGAGTGAGACTATTCATCTAGATAGCATCTGAAAACCATAACCTGATTTATTGCATATGTGGTTATTTTCATCATCATTATTAGAGTCTAAACAGTGGTTTCAAACGGGGATGATTTTGCACCCTTTTCCTTGTCCAGGGCATATTTAGCAATATCTGGGAACATTTTTTGGTTGTTATAGCTGGGTTGGGAGGGGAGATATTCTGCCATTGCCATCTACTTGTTATAGGCCAGAGATGCTGCTAAACATCCTACAATGCACAAGATAGTTTTCCACCAAAATGAATGATCTGGCCCAAATAGTTAATTGTGCCTAGGTGGAGAAACCCTGGTCTAAAATGTTGCTGTCTCTGTGTTAGGATGAACAAATTATCAATGTAGTAAAAACTAAATCTTTGGCACTACCAGTCAAGATGGAGGTGTAGGTAAACATGGCTCACCTCCTTGTACAACCACAGCAAAAATTATAACTAAACTACAAAACAGCTATTGCCCAGAATTGTCAGAAGAATTGAGCTGTGTGGAAGTCCAACAACCAAGGAATTAAAGAAGTAACATTCACTCAGACTTGTAGGAGGGGCGGGGATGTGGAACAGGCAGCCCCACACCCACCTGTGGTGGATAAAAATCAGGAGGGATATCTCACGAGCGAGGGATTCCAGCCCCATACCAGACCACCCAACCCTGGGTTCCAGGGTCAATAAGATAAATCTCCATAACTTCTGGTAAAAACCAGGGCAGCGGAAGAAACTGTAGGATTCTCAGGTGTCTTCTCTTAAAGGGTCCCCAGTGGACTTAGGACTTAATGTAGACTGATTCCCTTTGGGCTCCAGCATCAGGGCAACAGCTTGAAGGGCACTAGTGGCATATGGAGAGAAACTGAAGTGTCTGGCATTAGGGGGAGTGCCAGGGGTCAGGTTCCTTCCAACAAAACTCCAGGGGCCAGTAGCAGCCATTGTTCCTTTTCTGAACCCTCTCCCACACAGAGCAGTGACACTGCATCTATGCCTCCATCAACCTGGTTCACACGGGTTGCCCCACCCAGGTGATTACCTAAGGCTTCACCCCATCCAACTTATGGTGCCCTTTTCTACATTAGGCTATACTACTAAGACGGAGTCAAAACAGCTCTACATTATACACAAAAACAAACAGAGGGAGGCTGCCAAAATGAGGAGACAAAACAATACAGCCCAGATGAAAGAACAGATGAGAACTCCAGAAAAAGAACTAAATGAAATAGAGGTTAGCAATCTATTAGATGCAGAGTTCAAAACACCGGTTATTAGGATGCTGAAGGAACTCATTGGGTACTTCAACAGCACAAAAAAAGACTCAGGCAGAAATGAAGGCTACACTAAGGGAAATAAAGAACAATTTACAGGGAATCAACAATGGAGTGGATGAAGCTGGGAATCAAATCAATGATTTGGAACACAAGGAAAAAAAAGTTCAATCAGAACAGCAAGAAGAAAAAAGAATTTTAAAACACAGGGATAGGGTACGGAGCCTCTGGAACAACTTCAAAGCCACCAACATTCAAATCATAGGGGTGCCAGAGGAGAAGAGAAAGAGAAAGAAATTGAAAACTTATGTGAGAAAATAATGAAAGAAAACTTCCCTAATTTGGTTAAGAAAATAGACATACAAACCCAGGAAGCACAGAGAGTCCCAAACAAGATGGGACACAGAGGACCTCACCAAGACACATAATTTTTTAAAAGATTTATTTATGTATGTATGTATGTATGTATGTATTTATAGAGAGGGAAGGGAGGGAGAAAGAGAGAGAGAGAAACATCAATGTGTAGTTGCTGGGGGCTGTGGCCTGCAACCCAGGTATGTGCCCTGACTGGGAATCGAACCTGTGACACTTTGGTTCTCAGCCTACGCTCAATCCACTGAGCTACGCCAGCCGGGGTAGACACATAATTAAAATGCCAAAGGTTAAAGAGAGAATCTTAAAAGCAGCAAGAGAAAGGCAGATAGTTACCTACAGTTGAGTTCCCATAAGACTGTCAACTGATTTCTCAACAGAAACTTTGAAGGCAAGAAGGGACTGGCAAGAAGTATTCAAAGTGATTAAAAGTAAGGACCTACAACTTAGGTTACTGTATCCAGCAGAGCTATCATTCAGAATTGAAGGGCAGATAAAGTGCTTCCCAGTCAAGGTAAAGCTAAAGGAGTTTGTCATCACCAAGCCATTATTGTATGAAATGTTAAAGGGACTTATTTAAGAAAAAGAAGATCAAAACTATGAACATTAAAATGGAAACAAATTCCTAACTATCAATAATTTAATCAGAGAAACACTAAGCAAACTACTAGAACAGAAACAGAATTGTAGATATGGAGATCTTTGAAGGGTTACCTATAATTTTAGAGTGGGGAGGGGGAGGATGGGGGAGAAGGTGCAGGATTAAGAAGCGCAAATTGGTAGGTACAAAAGAAAGAAAAGGGGGATGTTAGGAACAGTATAGGAAAGAAAAGATAGGGGGATGTTAAGAACAGTATAGGAAATGGAGTAACCAAAGAACTTATATGCATGACCCATGGACATGAACTAAGGGGGAGAATACCAAAGGGAGTGAGGGTTACTGGGTGGAGAGTGGCAAAGGGGGAAAACTTGGAACAACTGTAATAGCATAATCAATAAAATATATTAAAAAAAATCTAATCTTTTGGCTTTCACATTTTTTTTTAGGATTGGTCCAAAGGAAGATTTTTTCCACTGTTTGAAGTGTAACTTATGCCTAGCTATGAATCTCCAAGGAAAGCACAAGGTATTAGTTTGCATAATTTTAAAAGTATTAAGAATGTTTTTCCAAACCAGCAGAAATCCTAATATGTTTGGAAGCATACTAGTTTTCTTTTTTTTAAATTTAATCTTTACAGTATTTTTTTCCATTACCATTTAGTTCCCTTATACCCCCTTCCCCCAGCAATCACCACGCTGTTGTCCATGTCCATGAGTCCTTTTTCCTTTTCTGCTCAATCCCTCCATCTCTGCTCTCCCCTCCATCTATGAGTCTTAATTTTCAATATTACCAAGTACAACTATGTCACTTTTTACTTCTAAGCAGTATTAAGTAGTGGATGTTCTAAATTATATGCCTCAGAATATCTGATCTATTCCTTTTTTTAGTATGTAAGAATAATTATATCAGTTATTAGTATATTGTTGACAACTTCTAAATTGACTCATGGATTTTTATCACTGGTACTAATAGTTTTAAGAATAGCTTTTAAAATGCATAGTACAGGAGAAATATAGAGCAATGTGACCTGTTAGAACCCAGCTTTCCAAGAAAATTCATAAACCTTTTATATTTTCTTTCATAATTAGACATATTTTTAATTTGGATGTAGCAATTATATCATGATCCCAGACTCTTTAAAATTACTTTTCAGCGTTTGGGAAAAAAGTAATAAACTATTATTTGTAGTCTAATATAAGAGTTTAGAGAATGGAGAAACTAGTGAGGGTTTTTAAAATAGGGAGAGGATAATGACTGACCTAAAATAGTAAAGTGGTAAAAGAAATGAAGTGAATAATGACTATGTGGGATATGGTGACAAGGTGTGATGGAAGGAAAAAGGGGGCTGAGTAAGCATGACTTTCAAGTTTTTTAGCCCTGGCTTGTGGTAGTTATTTAATAGATTGTGAATTTGTTTTAGTTAAAAGGGTTGAGTTTGGTTGTGTAGCTTGAGTTTGGGGTGATAGCAAAATATGCTATGCTGCCTTTCAAAAGTTATGTACACTTTTCTCTCAGGATATTTTTGTTTTGTTCCTCAGTTATCTTTTATTGTCTGTATTAGTAACTGGCCCCACAATCTACTCTAGTGCTGACTTTAAAAACCTGGGCATCATCCGTGGTTTGGTGCTTTCCCAAACCTCCCCATATCTTCTAATCAGACACTGTCTGGTCAAGTTAAGAACTCAGACCCCAGAGGTATCCTCCTGTTGGAGCTCAAATATAGTTCCATTTCTTACGAGCATGTAATTTTAGAAGTTATTTAGCTTCTCTAGGCCTCAGGTACTCATCTGTAAAATAGGATAATTATACCTATTTCATTGAGAATTCTGAGAATTAAGCTAGTATAGGTAATGAACCTAGCATATGGCATATAGTAAAATCTTAATAATATGAACTGTTATTATTATCAATATTAAGTAATTAAGCTTTGGAGTAAAACACATATAAAATAGAAAGGTTCCAAATGTTACTATCTCTGCAATTTTAATAGGTCTTGATTTACTGAGTTTTCTTATCTGTAAAATGAATATAATGTATAATTAAGATGGATTGAGCAATTTCATTGTTTCAGGTAATATGCCAAGTCTGAATTAGTTGTGAGAGTTAAATTGTTCTTGACTGACATACAGGAAACATGTTACATGTTAATTATCTTTAGTAAATTGATATTGTTTCCTTTATTTGTTAGTGGTTATTAATAACATTGTTTTATCTGTTATTTACATCTGATTAAACTTTTGGTAACTTGACTTTTTCTTTTAAACAGTGTATTGAAAATGTTTCTCGGCAGAACTGCCCAATATGTTTGGAGGTAAGCTTAGAATATTTTTTTATAATTTCTTTTTTAAATATACTTTATTGGTTATGCTATTATAGTTGTCCCATTTTCCCCCTTCACTCCCCTCTACCCTGCATACCCCCTTCCACACACATTCCCCCATTTTAGTTCATGTCCATGTGTCGTAAGTTCTTTAGGTTCTACATTCCCCTTACTATTCTTACTCTCCCCCTGTTTTCTACCTACCATCTATGCTACTTATTCTCTGTATCTTTTCCCCTTCTCTCTTCCTCCCACTCCCCTGTTGATAATCCTCCATGTGATCTCCCTTTCTGTGGTTCTGTTCCTGTTCTATTTGTTTGCTTAGTGTGCTTTTGTTTTAGATGTGGTTGTTAATAATTGTGGATTTGCTGTCATTTTACTGTTCATATTTTTTATCTTCTTTTTCTTAAGTAAGTCCCTTTAACATTCATAAAATAAGGGCTTGGTGATGATGAACTCCTTTAACTTGACCTTATCTGAGAAGCACTTTATCTGCCCTTCCATTCTAAATGAAAGCTTTGCTGGATAGAGCAATCTTGGATGGAGGTCCTTGCCTTTCATGACTTGGAATATTTCTTTCCAGTCCCTTCTTGCCTGTAAGGTCTCTTTTGAGAAATCAGCTGACATTCTGATGGGAACTCCTTTGTAGGTGACTGTCTTCTTATCTCTTGCTGCTTCTAGGATTCTCTCCTTCATTTTAATCTTGGGTAATGTAATTATGATGTGCCTTGGAGTGTGCTTCCTTGGGTCCAACTTCTTTGGGACTCTCTGAGCTTCCTGGAAGTCTATTTCCTTTGCCAGATTGGGGAAGTTCTCCTTTATTATTTGTTCAGATAAGTTTTCCACTTGTTGTTCTTCCTCTTCTCCTTCTGGTACCCCTATAAATCGGATGTTGGAACATTTAAAGATGTCCTGGAGGTTCCTAAGTGTCTCCTCATTTTTCTGAATTCTTACTTCTTCATCTTTTCTGATTGTTTTTTTCTTCCTTCTGGTCCACTCCATAGATTTGAGACCCAGTTTTCTTTCCATCACCATTGGTTCCCTGTGCATTTTTCTTCATTTCACTTAGTGTAGCCTTCATTTTTTCATCTAATTTGCAACCAAAATCAACCAATTCTGTGAGCATCCTGATCACCAATGCTTTGAACTGTGCATCTGATAGGTTGGCTGTCTCTTGGTCACTTAAAAGTATTGGCTCTGGGGCTTTGATTTGTTCTTCCATTTGAGCCTTTTTTGGTGTGGTCACACCTGTTGCATATGAGGGACCAGAGCCTTAGGTGTTCACCAGGGTGGGGCAACCCAGTCTCTGGCTTGTGGCGCTGTATCTGGGGGTGGGGTCAGAGAGGGAACAGTGGCGCTTGCTCTGCTCTCTCAGATTTCAGTCCCCTCTGCCACTTCCCACAAGCAAACTGGGCCCTTCTGGTGCTGGTTCCCAGGTGGGTGGGCTTGTGTATGTTCTAGGAGCCTGTGGGTCTCTCCAATGACCTCTCCTGTGAGCCTGGGAGTGTCTCCCGGCACCTCAACCCCCACAAGTGTTTTCCATCAGTGCTTTTAGGCTTTATTTCCCAGCACTGGGTCCTGGGTTGCGAGGTCTGTCTCACTGCCCTTTTTTACCTGGTTTATCTGTGCGCGAATGTGCGACTGTGGACAGTCAGCTGCCTTGCAAGCCTCACTGGTTCTGCTCATTGCCTCCCTGCACCCGGGGTCTCCCACTGGTGTCTGCTATCCGCCACCTGCACGCCCGGGTCTGCCAGCCACTGCTTTTTTCCTGCTGTGACCCCTCTCCTCTGGCCTCTGACTCCACCTGTTTTACCTGTCTGGATGAATGGTTGTCAGACTTCCATACAGTTCAGTTCTCTGTCTGTTCTGGTTGTTTTTTTGTTTCTAAATTTTTGTTGTCTTTAATTTTGGTTGTGCAAGGAGGCACAGTGTGTCCACCTACACCTCCATCTTGGTTGGAAGTCTCGGTAGTAGCTTAGAATATTTTTTGTTTTGGAAATATCCCCTCTTGAATTTAAAATATTTGGCTGTTTATATTGCCTTCATGTAAGCACTAACTTTTTTTTTTTTTTACAGGACATTCACACCTCTCGTGTTGTGGCTCATGTCTTGCCATGTGGACACCTTTTACATAGGTAAAGTAACTTTGGTTTCTTCAAAATGTTTGAAAATATTGGAGATAATTTTTGCTTTACTGAAATAATGTTATTTTTTTCAGAACATGTTATGAAGAAATGTTGAAAGAGTGAGTATTTGGGATTTTAAAATGTTATAATTGTATGTAAGATGTCTGGGTTTTTTTGATTTGTTAGCATATTGGGCATGGCACATACTTATCTCAGATGGGTAGGGTAAATGAGTAGGGTTGAACTGGGCAGAGCATCTTGGGGGATGCAGGGCTACGTCTTTGTACCCATATTGTCTAATCCTACAGACTGAGACAGATAACCTCTGATTTTCTGGCTGTACTCACCAGGGATCACAGTCTTTGCTAGAGGCAGTCATAGCTTTGTAAAAATGCTGAGGCATTTTGTTCAAAATTCTGTTAAATCATTATGTTTGCCCAGCATAATGACCTGCAGAGAAAGCTAGAGATGAGATTATCTACAGCTGAGACTTATTGTGGGGGAAGGGTGTTAAATTGAGATAAAAAGAGTTCGGAAAGAGGACACAGTAAAATGTATTTTGGCCCAGCAAATTGATGAGCAGAAGTTGTGATTTATAGATAGAAGGAAACTTTTTCAGAATTTTTAAGAAATAATATCTGAATAAATTGGAAAGATTATAGTGTCTTCTATACTTGAATATATTTAGAAATTAAAGTTATTTAACTAAAAAGCAGCTTAATTGACTTAAAATATAAAGTGTATTCTACAAAGACTATGAACGAATTCTTCTGCATTTTAGAGAACTGAGAAAAAAGAAATACATTTAAAAAGTGCCAGGATTTAATTGAGAACTTTTATAGTGTGAAGTTCTGTCTTGGATGGCGTATATAACAGTTAGTGTGTATCTTTTATACCTGAGTTTCATGTTTGGAAAATAACTGTTCAATTCTAGAGGCTACAGATGTCCGTTGTGCATGCACTCTGCTGTAGATATGACCAGGTACTGGAGACAGCTGGATGATGAGGTGGCACAGACTCCTATGCCGTCAGAATATCAGAACATGACTGTAGATGTGAGTGGAAACTTTTCAAATTCCTTGTTGATATTCTTGTTTATTTTTGTCCTTTTGATCAAATCTGTCTAAAAAATACTGCTTTGGCATAGATGGCAATGTGATGATTAATGGAAGGTTGGACAAAATAATCTTTAAATTTTAGTTACTTTGAACTTAAAAGACCAGGAAAAAAATAGTTCTGTGAATACTTTTGTGCAGTTCTTCCCAACACTAGATGGCAGGCACAAACTTTACTCTGAATTATTTACACTTTACTTGCCAGAATCAGTCAGTAATGTGACTGAGTAGACGTGAATTACTGGCTTGTTGTTTCATTTTCAGTTATTTTGAATTTACTTCACACAAACATATTTGCTAACTTTTGAAGATTGCTTTTGGTATTAAATATTTATTACCCTGTTCATTCTATCTTAGACTTTTTAAATTTGGTCTTATTAGCCTACAACATAAAATATAGAAGTTTTTCTGTCCCTTTTGCCTTATGGAGAACGATCATCTTTTCTCTTGAAATGTGCTGCTATCTATTCTCAGCATAGTATATTGAATTACAGATCAGAATTAGAACTTTAGATAGCTTTCTGGTGCTTTAATAATTTGGGGGCATCTCTAAATTTTCTAAACACCATCAGTTTAATTCAGATACTTATACATAAAAGGGTCAGAACGACTTAAGAAATCCAAATAAATTTTTTTTTTTACTTTATTCACACCGGAGTACTTTATAATTCATGTGGATAATGAATTGTTAGTAAGGTCATTGACCACTTTTGCATTACTAACTGATAACCATGTGATGTTTTACTAGAGGCTGCAGTGTTCTATGTTCCATGTAGATGATGTTTTAAAATAACAGCTTTAATAGATATAATTCACATATTACTCAACTCATCCTTTTAAAGTGTACAATTCAGTGCTTTTAGTATATTCTTGCAGTTGTACCGTCATCACCTTCGATTTTGAGAACTTTCATCACTCCAGAAAGAATCCCTGCACCCACTAGTAGCCATTCCCCAGTTCACTAGCTCTAGGCAACCACTCATCCAATTCTCTACATTTAGATTACATTCTTCAGAGAATTATTTCCAAATTGTAATTTAGAATACATTTGGAATACATTGGAAGTTTTCTACTTACTGAGGTGTGACTATTCTAAAGCTAACGCTTTTCTCACATCGTATTAATCAGTTGTCAGGTGAACACCTTTTTTATTTTTCAGAATCTCAGTACTAGAAAAGATTGATTCTGAAAGTGGCATCTTATTGGCATTTTAGGGATGAGTCAAAAGCTTCTCTTCAATTTTAAGAACTACTTTTGAAGTTGAATTTATTCGTGAGACATAGAAGACTAGGAATTTAGGGTATTAAACCTAAAGAATAAGAAGCAGAGGGTTTACTGTCCAGGAAAACCTGGTGCTGAAGTCCCTTACCATAAATGGCCAAGTTCCAAGTTTCTCCAGTTAAAACTTGCCCTATTAGTACTTCTGCATACTTGTTCTCCCTGACTCCTTAAAACCCTCTGATGTAAGCCATTGAGGAGTTTGGGCTTTTGTTGAGTAACAGCTTTCCCATTCTCCTTGTGTGGTTCTAGCAATAAAGTAACTCTAATTTTTCCACTGCAAAAACAAAACAAAAGAAAAAAACCCTAAGGAATAAGCAAAAATGTTATAAGTATGTAAACATTTTTTATTAACTAGTATAATTTTCTAAGTGTCAATGAAAATAATAAAAATTCATGTGTTTTATTTTAAATTGTAAGTATGGATGGTCTTGGACTTATGATGGTTTGACTTAGGGTTTTTCAACTTTATGGTGGTATAAAAGCAATACACATTCAGTATTAAATGCCTAGGCTAAGCCATGATGTCCAGTAGGTTAGGTGTATTAAATGCATTTTTGACTTACAATATTGACTTATCATGGGTTTATCAGGATGTAACCCCATAATAAGTCTGGGAGCATCTATATAGATGATGATCTGATTATGCCTATGTTAATTTTCATGCTAGTACTATTTATATACTACTTGGGAGTTATTTTAAATTAAACTTCTTGGCACAAATCCACATTTTCATTCTCTGAATTCAAAGTAGCCTCAGAGCTTTCAGTGAACAACAATGAAAAAGGTATTTCTACTTACAGAAATGTTTAGACATATATATGTATTTTCACATCTTCAGTATGATTTTTGAGGAATTGTTTTTGAGCAGACAATGTCACTTTATATGCATAAGGTTTAATATACTTAATTTGAATCCATCTCTTCACTTTTTAGATTCTCTGCAATGATTGCAATGGAAGATCTACAGTCCAGTTCCATATATTGGGCATGAAGTGTAATATTTGTGACTCCTACAATACTGCTCAAGCTGGAGGCTGTAGAATTTCACTAGATCAGCAATGACCAGCCTATACTACACTGGAAAACTCAACATTTTCTGATAGAAAAAGGCTATATTTAGTATCCTATTGTCATCATGTGTTTGAATCTATGCATTAGAGTTGATGGGTTTTGTACTAGTCTCACAGCATAAAGTCACATTACAAATACTTAAGGGTTCAGGGTCTCTTTATAGAATTGTCATAGCTGTATGTTTAATGAAAGCCACTGTGCTGTGTTTTGATTGAAAATTCCTTTAGTGTCAGTTGTTTGGAAGCCAGTGATGTTGCCACTGAAATTCACATTCATAGAAATGTGTTATACTTTCATGGAACTTTGATTTAAGTGGCACTGCGCACGCAGGATTCACTTCAAGTTGACAGAACTATATTTAATTCTCAGTATTATTCCTGACTTTTTAAGGGCTGTACTATAATAAGGATATGTTCTATCTTACTGTTAAATTTTATCTACATATGCTTTAGAATTTTCTAAAACAGTCCTTTGGATCTTCAAATGTGAATTTTGACATAATAACTGCTAATAAAATTTTATTGAAACAGTGTTTTATAGAAACTTTTTTCCAAGGCTCAGTTTTTGGCTCAATTAGGGCAATATACTCTTATAATGTAAAATAAATATTCTTTTCTTACTTCCTTTTTTTTTTTAAGTATTCTTCCATAAGAGTAGTTGGTAAAAATGTAAAATAACGGAACTCTTTTAAGCCTTAAGAAAACATCAACATTGAAAATAATTTTGGTTGCCCAAAATTATTTCTTCAAAGAATAATTTATTCTGTTAGTATTCAGTGAGCAACTACTTTGTACTGTAGAGGTAACAGAGAACAGTATAGGCAAAAGTCCCTGCCCTTGTGGTGGTCCATTCTTTTCCTTGTTTTTCTTTATGTATGCAGTGGTTGTCTTTGTTGTAAGTGGTTGGATTCATTCTTTCTTGAATGCTTGAAAGTAAGTAGATGAGTAGAAAGGGCACCAAATATTCCTGGCAAGATGTCTGTTTTTATAATACTTTTTTTGATTCATGTAATGGGATTAAATATACCTCTTAGTTCAGGACCAATGCACATGACAATGCTTGATGATCCTGAAGTTTTACAGTAGTATCCCAGTATCCAACTTAGCCTGTTCATAAAAAGCTTTAGATTAGGAGGTAAAACGTATACTTATCGGTCAACACTTACTACATCTCTAACTTTGAGCTAGTTGAATCTTTTGTGAATAAGGAAGATTGTGTTATAACTAGAGATCCTAACATTTCTGGTACATTTATTTCTTCTTTTGTTGAAATTTCTTTACCTGGATAAAGGCAGCAGCATGGATTTTCAGTTTTGGGTTCAGGTCTTCTCTCTCTTGCCTTTCTGTCTTCCATAGTCTACTCCTCTTATGATCTCTTCCTTTATTCATCTCCTTGGCCTGGGCAGAGCAGCGGAGCCCATCTTGGTTTGGGGAGGGGGTGGGATATCTTGCTAAGTGTTACCACTTGGTATACAGATAAGGAAAGACTAGTTTTCTACTTGTAATACTTTTTTTTCTGTTGTCTCATCCTACTAAACTAGTTAAATCATATTACTACTTTTAGTCATAATCATTGAATCTTCGAGTAGGAGTGAGAATATAACCAAAGTTCTGTGTTTTGAGAATTTGCTGTGTGTCAGGCTTGTGCATTAGTGTTAATCACTACAATAATTCTGTAGGGTAGGTGTTGTCTTCACTTTATAAACCAGAAAACTGAGGTTCAAAGGATACATGACATCCTCAAGTAAATGACAGATACTAAATGTTGGAGCTGGGAATCAGTTCCAGGTGTATGACTCCCAACCCACTGTGTAACAATGCCTTTGACTCAAACTTCTGTTTTGCTAAACTACCATTGATAGCTAAGTTATCTATTATGGAGGAGCTCATGATTTGATAGACCTTCCATTTTTAGATGTTTTAATTCAAAATCTGATTACTTGTATCTTCAGCTCAGGGTCCAGATTTGTCAAAAATAATGAAGAATTAGTATGTAATTGCTTGTTTATGATATCCAGTCATGTACCTGAAGCAGTTTTCAAAGGCCCTTCAAGTCTAGGCTACAGTACTCCGGGTTTCTTCAAGGATTTGTTCATGAAATGTCAATTCAGTGCTTAAAATTCTTTAACAATTCCCATTCACCATGAGTTCCTAAGCATTCAGAATGTAGTAACTTAAAATGGAAAGTTTTAAATATTTTTGGCTTTTTCTGATTCAACAATATATTGTGGGAAATATGTAAGAAGGAGGTAAAAAAAAAAAAAACCCTCACATTCTCATGTTCCAGAGATAACTACTGTTAACATTTTAATAGGCAGCTTCATTCTTTTCTTTTCCTGTTTATAGGGATGTTTAAAAAGCTTATAGGAATGTCAGATACATACTCTGGTCTTAGGAATGGTAAAATTGTCTGTCCCCGAAGTAAGATTGCCCTGCCACAGATTTTGTATCTTAGTGTACTTATTTTAAAAACCAGTAACTGTTTTTTTAATTTCTTAGTGCATAGAAGCTCATTGGCCCCTTTTATCATTAAAGAAGTGTGCATAGGTTATTTTTAAAAATCTCTTGTAGTTTCTGGAGTCTTCCTACCCAGTATATGGAGCTCTGTAGAGTATTAACTTTAGCTCATGTTTGAAGTAGTATGTTTATGGAGTAGTAGATTTTTAAATCAATCTTGGCTTATTTTATGAAAACCTGCTTCCATATTGCGTATGTGTGTAGTTTTCTTTTAATTTTTGAAATTTTGGTCACAAATCAAAATGAATGTGAGTACTAAGGAGCCAACATCCCTAAAAGTGCCTGGCATTTAGTAGGTGTTCTGTAGTAGTTAATTTGAAATGAATTAATTTGAAGTGGATATTAAATATTTTAATCTATGCCACCTTTAAATAATCACCTCTGCTTAAGTTCTCTTTGAAAATTTTTCTGTTTGCATCATATTCATCAGATGTTTCTTCCTAAGTGAACTTGTTTCTTACTGTCATTTTCATGTAGATTTTTTACCTTGTGTTTATCCATGTAATCCTTTGGGTTATATGCCACCTTTTTCCTCCCCCCCTCTCTCTCCCTCCCCCCCATCTTTTTTAGATTTTATTTATTTATTTTTAGACAAGGGAAAGGAGGGAGAATGAAAGGGAGAGAAATACCAATGTGCCAGAGAACATCAATCAGTTACCTCATACACCGCCAACCAGGGGACCTGGCCCCTAACCCAGGTATGTGCCCTGATCAGGAATTGAACTGGTGACCTTTCAATTCATAGGCCAGTGCTCAATCCACTGAGCCACAACAGCCTGGGCATATATGCCACCTTTTGACAGGTCTGTTTTTTTGGTTCTTATACATCCCTTTTCATTCCCCAAATACTGGTAATTTTATACCTACCTGCTTGTCTCATAGCTGATTTCACTCTCTACCTTCATATCCATCCTACTAGATTACTTTTCCTAGGCTTAGACTTGTTATAATTTTGATCAAAATAACATACAGGTCCCCAACTGTGCATTTAATTAAGTCCAGATTCCTCACTTTGAAATCTTTACAAAATGTTTTAATTTCATCTTTTTAGTTTTATTTTCGACTTAACATATACAGTATTTCTTAAACATACCTCTGAAGTTTTGTCCTTGTCTTTGCACACATAGATTCCTTGTGGAGCAATAATTCTTAGAAAAATGTCGTCAAAAGCCTGCCTCTTCATAATCCAGCTCAAAGTTCACCTTCACCGTCAATGATAATTCACATCCAAAATTCTTTTGTAACCTCTCCCTCTCATACACTACAGCACTTGTAGCAGTCTTAAAGGACTTAGCATTTCCTTTACTGTGGTTCAGTTTTTGCCTCACCCTTTCTCATTTCAACATTGTATGTGAAGCAGTATATATGAAGTTTCCTGTGGACACAGGAGGGGTGGGGTTGGGGGCACAACAAAAACTCCTGAAAGCCCTCTAGCAGTTGACTTGTGGAAGACAAACATGGGTGGAAATGGACAGCAGCAAAGGTAGAGGTAAGAAGGTGGGCTCGGGGGTGGGAGAAAGGGCCTGGTTTTGAGGACACGGTGGGGATTATTATCTCATACCTTGCTCATAAGAATTTGTTGAATTTCTAGTGGGATTTAAAAAAAATCTTGTTCCCAAGTTTTCACTGTATTTAATAATCTGATAGAAGTATATATACATATATATGTAAAAATTCCTTGAAAAGACCCCCAGAAGTGTACTAGAATGTATTGATTAAAATGTGACGGTATCACAAACCTTTCTCAGACCAGCAAGGAATCAAGTCATGCTGGAATTTATCCCATATGACAAATTTTATTTTGTACCAGTTATGTGGCAGGTTATTAAAAATAAAAAAGAGCTCTGGCTGGTGTGGCTCAGTGGATTGAGCTCAGGCTGTGAACCAAAGGGTCGCCAGTTCAATTGCCATTCAGGGCACATGCCTGGGTTGCAGGTCAGGTCCCCAGTGGGGGCCACGTGAGAGGCAACCACACAATGATGTTTCTCTTCCTCTCTTTCTTCCTCCCTTCCCCTTTCTCTAAAAATAAATACATGAAATTTAAAAAAAAAGAGTAAGAGTAAATGACCTCAAGTTGTTCCTGGCCCAGGGCGGGTAAGTGTGTGGCAGTGCGACAGGAGTGCTTTTCCTGATTTCTAGCAGCAGTGTCAAGTGGCTCAGTACGTGAGGAGCCGTTAGAAACAGCCTTTTCGGGACAACCTTTTGGCTTGGTTCTTCCACGCAGGTTCTGAACATGAAAGTATCATCTTTGGGAGGTGTGTTAGCCTGGGACTTATGTGTTCCCTATTTTAGAATAAGTAGTTAAGCTTAAATTCCTATGGGTGTCAACAGATCTGCTCTGTGATTTGTTATACACAGGGTCCCTGCTGGAATGCCTGCCATTCCCCAGTTATTAAGGATTGCCCTTGTCCAGAGTTTGCTGCTTAGGTCTGCCAAGCATCTACTCCAGTAAACTTCCAATCAGGGTCAGAGCATCAGGCTGGTGGCACTTATTTCCTCCCAGAGGCAAACACACATGATACTCAAATTGGAATCAAAACTTCCCTTGACCACCCACCTGCTTCCAACTATTGTCCCATTCTCACTCCTCTTCCATATTCTATTTTTCTTAGAGTCAACATTCAGCATGAGGTGTGATGAACAGCCCTTTAACCTGTCTAGAGCTGCTCCAGTTCCAACTGTTGCCTGTAGAGTGGGCTTAGGTAGGGCTTGGCCGTTGGCTCCTGCTCTTCCTGGGTGGGCACTCTGAGGGGCTGAGCCTGCCCGAGTCTGGAAAGAAATAGTTCTGGGTCTTCTAGAGCCTGGTTATTTCAGAAGATCCCTTGGAAACCATCCCTGATTGTCCCTCACTGCTGTTCCTCACCCTCTAACCCCCACCTGCTACTTGGCACCATAACATTTGATTGAAGTCTCTGGCATTTGTTCCAGTCTGCTTTGCTTATTTACATGTTAATCTCTCTTGTTGAATTCGAATTTTTTTTAATATATTTTATTGATTATGCTATTACAGT